GTCCATCCCCCATTAACATGCCAGAGGCAGGGGTTTCTCGTGCCCCGTTGCGCTCTTAAGTGAATAATAAATTAATTGAATCGGCCACGCGGCCCATTTTTGGAGTCGACTCTGCGGCGGTGGGGGGGTTGCAAATACATAGATATGCACACACATATATCTTTTGGATGTGTCTTAGGAAATGGAGGACCACAAATCCAAGCTCCAGTCCACACATTCATCCATCCAGCCATACGCTAGTCATACGCCACGTTCCATAAAGTTTTATGGGGTTTTCGGTGTGTCTTTTATCAGGCCCCACAGCAACCCATGCCATGCCTGCAATTAGCAAACTAATCAAAAGACAGATACAAAGATACACAGCTAGATGGATCCAGTATCTAAATGTCTAATTAAAGTGTAAATTTCGCTGAAGAGATTTCGATTACGTGAAGGAGAAGGAGAAGCAGTGGGGGGGTTGGGCATCAATGACACTTAATTAGAAAACTGAAAGCTGAATGGAAGTAGAAAGAGAAACCCTAAGGGATGGGTATCCCATTAAGGGAAAGCGAACGGGCGCTTTTTCGTATCCATAAGATACACTATTGTGTGTGTGTGTGTGTGTGTGTGTGCTTGGCATTGGGCCGCCCAATGCTTTTAATTAAAGCACCCCAAAGACCCCACCAAAGGACGGCGGGGGGAAAGAACAACACAGCGATTGTCTCCGGACAATGAAAGTTTATTTTTATGGATACACACACACACACACACGTAGACACATAGATACAAATACACCCACATGGCCACATAGAACCAGTCGAGGCAGCGCCATAATGGCCCAAAGAACCAACCAACTATTTTCTGTTCGGAAACTCATTTTGGCAAAGCTTTCTGAAAGCAGCAAGAAATAGCAAACAGGATGGAGAGGGAGAGGGGAAAGGAGAAGGAAGAGAAAGGGACAAAAGTGTTTCCCTTCCTTTTTTGTACTTCGCCAAAAGGATTGGAGATTCAATTGGAGCAGACCGAGAGACATCGATTCCATCCATACACATTCGAGTCAGCATATAGACATTTTACCATAGCTTAATACTGGATAAAAAATATACAAAAACAAACCCTTTCTGCATTGATTTCAGATACATATTATTAGAGCATATATTCCGAGTGCTGCCTCTTCCTTCTTTCGCTTCCATCGCTGATTTGTTTTGTCTTTTTTCGGACTAAAACAGTTTGAGAAATATCTCAGAGCAACTTCTGCGCCTTCTCCTCAAGCTCTCTCTCCCTGCTGCGGAAACACGCAAACACTTGAAATGCAATTTGCTTTTGTTTCGCTTTTGCTTTTGCTTTTGGCCAAAAAGACTTTTGACGATCGTCTCCGTGTCCGTGCCAGACGTTTGCCCGCTCGCCCGTTCCATCGCTTGCTGTTTTCGTGTGAAATGTGGAGTGCGACTGAGGCACGTACCGCTAAGATAATACTACAATGCGATATGTGCGAGTACAAAATATATATACATATATACATATATATATATAAATACGACAACGACGCTCGTTTGCATATAATAACTCAAATGCTTAATGTATTTATGCGGCGATTTTCACACTGCACACAAAGCCGCACATGCCGCACAGGCACAGGCCATGCGGATTATGTGAGCCGTGCGAGCCTCTCGATAGCAATGCCACTCCGCTCCGATTGTGCAAGCGGGAATATATGGCAAATGTGTATGAAATAATCGTATTCGATTTGTTTTGATCGGATTCCCATAGTGAAAGATTCAGGCAAGTGAATCACTAGCCAGCGCTTAGTCTCTCGCACATTTTGGGTTATTTTGGATTATTTTGTGTAATTGTATGTGTGGTTTTGGGAACGTGACCACAGAGTGGCTCCCATATGTTTGGGGTTGCATTTCGCGTTATTGGGTTAAGGCGAAATCGGGCATTGCTCATTCCCCATTCATGCAGCAGCACGACTGAATGAACGATGAATCAGTCGATTGGGGGTGAATGGGGGTCTCAAGATGCCTAAACCAGATTAAACTTATCGAAAATGAGCTGAAAAATCGATACAAATCGATTCATTCCCATTTGTTTGTATATCTTCAATGAATTGAAAGAGAATTCCATTGAATTTATAGTTTCTTGATTGAACTTAGCTCAGAAGATAGCTTGGAATTGTATTACCCAAAATGAATAATCAATGGAATTTCATTACATTTATCGATACTTGATTGATAACTTGATTAACAAATCGTTTTGCTTGGTTATTTATGGTTTATTTGTTCCCCCCTCGCCCTCTGGCATACAAATCTTCAGGTCTTCATCTTCACAAATCGAACACCATTGCATATTCATGGGGGGACTCCGGCCATCTAGCGTTCGCCGCACGATCCATTGCGTAAGCTTCTCTGTGCTCTTGCTTCCTCTCTCTCTCTCTCTGGCGCTGTTCTGGCAATCGATCGAATCGGAGGCAAAAACTTGTACACTTGAGGGCAATTCACATGCCACAGAGCCCCCATCTCGCAGCAGTCGCGCAAATGACTTTATTTGCTGAATGGAATGTCACTCGAGAGCACTCAGAGATAGAGACAGAGATAGAGAGAGCGAGAGTGGAGGGGTGCGTCCTGCTGGGCCAACGCGACGCATGCGCAATATTCAACTCCACAGAGTCGTGCGGGTTGTGTGGTGGAGGCTCCTGTGCGGCGGCCCCTCTCCTAGCCGTGACCTCAAAAGCCGGCCAGAGGAGGCCACGCATGCTGTCGTTGTCTGTCGCTGACGTCTGACGTTGACGTACACCGCATTTGGTCAAAATGAGCAGCAGACAGAGAGAGAGAGAGAGAGAGAGAGAGAGAGAGAGAGACAGAGCCAGGCCTGTGAGCCACAGCCAAAAGTTAAACCAAAAATCGACAAAAAGTCGACAAAAAACCAAAAACCAAAAACCGAATTGAAACGTTTTGTGTGGCGAATGTCAAAAGTGATTTTCGTTGCAACACAGCAACGGACAGCAGCAGCAAACAGCCACAAACATCAAAGGCTGCAAAGGCATTAAAAGCTCTCTCACAAAACAAAGTTTAAAACCCAAAAAACCAAAAAGGAAACATGACTTTTGGGTGTATGCAGCAGAGGTTTTAATACCCTAGAACAAATATATAAATGTGCAGAATGCATAATCAATAAACAAATCTGGCTGATTCGATAGCATTTATCATTAATTTTCGATCATTTCTATTTGAATATAAAAATCAAAGACCTCTCATGTGAAAAAGAAATGTTGAAGAATGCATGAAGAATGATTATGCAGAGTGTTGCCAAGTGATAATGGAAAGCAGCATGCCCGCTGGCCGACACTGTCCAGGGTATGAGACGAAAGAAACATGCGAAAGTCATAAATCATAATTCTTTATTCTGACTTTATTTTGCGTTGTTCGCTTATTTCGTTCGTTGTTCGGTTCTTGGCTGACTTTTGGGGTTTGCCAGCACAGCAGAGTGTAGTGTTTGGGGTGCACGGGAATAGAGGGTACAACTTATAGAGCATGTCTCTCGCACACACACACAGTTCTGGCCACATGATAAATGAGTCAAGAGGGTGTAGGGGGGGGGGGGGGGGAACAGTGGCAGTGGCAGCAAACAGCCACACAAAAATGAGATTTTTGTGTTCTGGATTATGGCCCCCATACGCTTTTGAAGTTTTTTTGACAGCCTCAATTTGCATTTTGAGCGGCAGGCAGGCAGCTAACCCCCTTCACCCCCCAAACAAAAAAATACTCAACCACAAGAGTCATCCCCACAGATCCACAGATCGACATCGACCGCTGGCCGGCAGTCGCCAGTCGCCTGCTGCTGCTCGCTGATCATCATAGGTCCATCAAACCACAAGCGAAATTCCACAGCCACTGGAATTGTTACTCGCGGCACAACGACTACAGAGTAGAGATAGCAGCTGGATCACTGGACTGGGCGAATACCCTAGAAAGGCTGCGCAAAACTTACATTTCTCTGCTGTTTCCATAAACTTTTACTGCCATCGTGCCTTTCTCCTTTTGGCATGATAGTTTACTCAAAGAATCAGCCAAGTTGCACTGCTGCATGACGCGTGACACGATCTATTTTTTTGTTTTTGAGTTCTCTCTTTTTGCCTTTTGGGGCAGCTGCACCTCTGCTGCCTGGAGAGGTGCCTCGGAGTCAAATGAATTCAACGGATGATTGCCTTCAATTGCAATTCAATTCGGTTTCAATTGGAATTCCTATTATTCTGTGTGTGTCTCTCACCTTCACCTCTCTGGGTGCGGGATAGAGTGCGGGTGGGAGCTGACCCACAGAGAGGAATGCAGCCGCGAACTGCATTCTGTGGCAAAAGTGGCAAAAGTGTGCCTGGGCTTAATTAAACGATTAACGGGTGGCGCTAATTGAGGCGTCTCCAAATGTAGGCTGGGCTGTGGGGCATGGGGCATGGGGAGGGAGGGTGCGTGATCAATCGCGAGAGATCCGTGATCCGAGATTCGTAAAATGTGATTCTCGGACTCGTACTGTCTGAAGGGGGGACTTACATAAATCAATTTAGTCGAGTTTACTTTATAATTTAATTGCTTTTTGTTTATATGTACACGTACACGTAAACTCTCTCTCTCGCTCTCTCTCTTGAACACTCTTTGCCCACTCACTCACTCTCTTTCTGTGTGCTTGCTCTCTCTTTCTTGCAGATTCGCTGTCAAACCGCCGGCTGTTCGACATTCAACGCATTCGTACGGGCCCCATGCTCTGAGCAACAACACGAGCCCCCCGCTAGAGATCGGATGGAACCGCAGGAACCGCAGGAACCAGAAATCCATAAATGATGATGATGACGTTGATGATGGAAGCACAGATCTCCGCTAGAGACAGAGCCAGGAACAATCCTAACTACAAGTGAAACAACCCAAAAAATAAACCTCACCGCCCGAACCCGACCTCCCCCCCCCCCACCACCCAACAAAAAAAAAACATTAAATTAAAATTATATATTTGTGACAATTTGCCACAAGCAAAAACGAAAACATTGGGAACCCCACAAAAAAGAGACCAGCACAGAGGCGAACAGAGAGTGGGGTAGAGACACAGTGGACACCCGCGAGTGTCGGACCAAAATACTATATAAACATATACGATAGGCACATTTGATATATGAATATTCTACAACAACAACAACAACAACAATATATATATAAAAGAGAGATTTGTTTAAACAAATAAGCAGTCCAACAAATGCAACGCGTAGGCCTTCAACTGTGATTTAAGCATACAACAAAACAAAACAAAACAAAACAACAAAAAGAAACGCAAATAAATTAGATTTAACGATATTTACCGATATATATCGATACACAGAAGAGAAAGAGAAAGGTGGAGAGATAAATCGAAAGTGTGTGTTTTGTGTTTCTTAATTTTGTGCAATTTTTAATTTATAATTTCTGTTTTCGCTTCAATCGATAACCGTTCAACGATAACCGATAAACAGTATAATACAACAACTCATTATCGATAGTTGAGCGATAAACCCCAACATAAACACCTTAAGTCGAGAATAAATCGATTCAATCATGTTCAACTCAAACATAACCGCCGCCTCGCTGCTCAGCATCGAGAGCAGCGGCCTTAATCTGGGCGCCCACACACCCAAAACACCCGAGATCCTCAACTCCCTGATCGCCATGACCAATCCATTGGATAACTATAGCTTCGCCGCTGCGGCCGCTGTCTCGGCGGCCGTCTCAGCATCATCGGCCGCCTCCACGCCCGTCGTCAGTGTCAGGAATTTCAATGGACATCCAACCAATGGACAGGTGAGTGTCTGCGCACAGATCCCTAGCCTCACTACGTATACTTAATATTCTATCTTGTACCTTTGTGTGTTCCCTTTGCAGTTGCATTCGCAGGACAGCAGTCATTCCAGTTGCTCCGCATCGCCGCTTGATTCGCCAGCGGGTGGCACTGCCACCATGCCCAGCGTGCAACAGGTAAGACATTGTTCATAGTCCTTCCATAAGGGGAATATCTGTACGGAACTGGGGAACACTACTCCTTGAAATGTAACCTTTCCTTCGGATTCTCTGCCCAATTTGTAGCTGTATCTTTGACCAAATTGTTCTTGCTGTTTGGTTCAATTTGTCGTTTCATTCATGAGAGACAGACACCAGAATGGATGACTGGTTGTGGCGCATCGCCCACGCCACTGCTTCAGCGCACGCCGTGCAAAATCCGCAACCCACGCACTCTCGTGGCCATTGGCCGACGTCACAGTCACCCTCAACTGCCCTCCCACCTCGGCTTCCACTGACATGCCCCTGCCCCTGCCCCTGCCCGTGTGGGGGCGTCAATTGCGAAACGCAGCGTCGAGAATTGATTTCACTTTTGCGGCGACATTCGGAGTATCTGCATCTTGGTGCTGCATCTCCAGTATCTGTGTGTGTTCATGCGGGTATCTGTATCTCTCCCTCTCCACTAACGACTGACATTGGCCTTAATGAGGTACGTAACCACTGGGAGGAAGGGGGGCACTGGAGGTGCCTGCTGCTGCTGCTGCTGTTGCTTGGTGTCAACGATTAATTCAAATGAATAAAACACTTGCTGCGGCACCAGACGGCAATTAGATGCGACGATCGATGCGATCGTCAGACGCATCATCCAGCAGCAGCAGCAGCATCCCGCATTCCGCTCTCACTAATTGGCAGGTGGCATCGCCAGATAAACAGAGAGAGAAAGAGCTAGAGCTGTGTATCTGTGTATCTTTGTGTGTGATTTATGATTATTACTTCAAACGAATTTATAGGCAGCGCAAGTTTTAATTGCTGGATGAGTGGTTGGAGGCGCACTTTTCACAATTTGTTTTTTCCAACAAATTTCCCATAAATTATCGAGCCCTTTTTGTGTGCAGTGCAGATTCTCTCAGATTCCCTCTGATTCTCTTTGTGGGCTGAAACTCGTTAAGCATTCAATTTGTGGCTGACTGATTGATTGGCTGTGCAGTTAACGTTTCACGCGACATGCAGAAGCGCCCCTCGGTTAGCTCAAGCCGAAGGAATATGACAAGGAAAACACACACCAAATTATTTCCCATTAATGAATCATCAGATACTATAGCTTTCCATTCCAGAACTTTCTGGGCCCCAATCCGCCTCTCCCTGTGGTTTTTGGCTGCACAAATATTTGCACAAATGTTGCCGAAAAAAAAGTGCACAGCAAATGTATTAAAAAATATTGCAAATATTGAAACGAATTTCGGTCGAGCCGAGTCGAGAAACGATGTGCAAATGTGCAAACAGAACAAACAAAATGCAAATTTTGGCGAGAAACCTAAAAACCTAAAAGAAAAATACAAATTGAACTCTTTGCAAAGAAAGGCTCGTCTTTGGGGGTACACTGTCTGTCGAGTTACTGTCAGCCAAGCGCAGTGAAAAAGAGTGCAGAGAGAGCGGTGGGTGCTCCACCTCCACCTGACCGATTGAACAGGGAATGTTGCACAACAAGAGACTTGATCATCGATCCAGCACACGACCATATGGTCATCGATTCCGATTCCGATTCAGATTCAGATTCAGTTTCAGTCTTCGAACTGCATTTTCGTCTGGCGTCTGGTGTCTGGCTGTGGCTGTGGCTGTGGCTGTGGCGCATGCGATTATTATTGGCTCTTTTTTTGTTTCTTTCATTTTTACTTCGTCGTTTTTTAAACACACACACACAATTTATTTATCTGATTTTTGGGTCAATAAATAAGGCGGTCACAGCGTGCCTAAAATTCAAATGAACATCGAACATTGTACCCCCGAAAATTACGAGCAACAGAAGCCAAACGAAACCGAAATTGAAGTCCAGAGAAGGGCAGAAGTAGGACTGTCGGACGAATGGCGGGGGGACTTCAACGAGTGGCATCTGAACAATTTCTCGAGCAGACAACAAACAAACGGACAGCAAGAAAATATGCGCAAAATATTGGTTGGTTCCGCTGCCTGGAGAGGGAGAGCCCCCGAGACGCGCGCCGCCTGGTCGACATTTCAATGAGCTCAAAATTGAGAAAATGCCACACCAAAACAAAACAAAACAAAAAATAATAATAATGGCAACCAAGGGAAACAGAACTCCACTGTGGAGGCCGCTGATAAAGTCAAAGACTGAAAGTATCTGGGACTCCAGAAATCGCCCTAATCTACGCAATAAAACTCTCACAGAGTAGCTTAGCAGCGAGTGTTTATTTTTAAGATTGCAATTGAGGGCATCTGGCAGTCGGCAGGGAGACCCGACTGGGCGTATCAACTATTCCACATGCCGAACCGAAAGCGAACCTCCCGCTCAGGATCCGTTGACAATGTGCGGAGTGGTGACCATCTGTTCCTGTTGCTGCTGCTGCTGCTTCTGTGGCTCTGCCATAAATGGATCTCCGCCATTCCATGGTGCCACAGTGCAAGTTTGTTGACGAGGTTTTTGTTTTTTTTTGTGGTGTGGCCCACACACTGCCACTGTCCACTTGTTGCCAGGAGGAGAGGCCAGGGAGAGCCACAACCAGGGAGAGATTTTATTTGTTTTTGGGGGCCCAGAGACTAGGGCGTGGCCCTTGGGCATGTCGCAGATTTGTATCTTTCTTTTTTGTCACTTAAATTCATATTTATAATTCATGCCACAAAAAAGGCCCCAAATGCCAAACCCTAAACCCCAAAATCGCAGCAAAAACAAAAAAGGTCGTCTGTGTAAATCACAAAACAAAACAGAGAAAATGCCGCTTAAAAATAAAAGATTAATCTGCATTGCAAGTTCCAGAGAGCTCGGACCCCTGACACAGACACAGACACGGAGACTGAGACCCAGACCTTGCCCTCCCCCCCCCCATCCACGAGAAATCGTGCCACAATGTGTGACGCAACGGGGGAATGCGACCACAGCTGTCAACGGAATCAAATCTCTGTCTCGTGTGTGTTGATTCGATTCGTCACATGGCGATTCGCTACCTGAGGCCTGAGTGCTCTCGAGAAAACTGTGTCGATCTCTCCCCAAAAGCCCAACAGGATCGTTCAGTGCGGAACACTCGAGAAACGGCAAGAAGTAGTGTGTGGAGACACCTAAAGACCGATAAGATTAAGAGTGTGACTGTGGCTGTGGTTGCTTGTTTTAATAAATAATTGGGAATTGGCTTTTTACGCCTGATCTCTCTCTCGCTTACAGGGTGGCTTAGCAGCATAGAGACGGTTCTGCCCTCATGGCTTGCACTCTTTCCTGTAGGGTTTGTCCTTAGAAGTGGTAGGAAAAACAACTCCCAGGGTTTCCCACTCTCTCGCAGAGTAGCTTGGCAGTGTACAAAGTGCGTAGGAGTCTGTGCCTCCAAAAGAGATCTCCAAATGCCAAAGAGTGGGGCCTCCAAATGTGTCTGCTGTGTGCCCCAAGCGGGGGGCAGAGCCGCTTGAGCAATGCTTTTGCCTTCTTTGGCTTCGCCTAACCGATATGGCGATTGGTGACAAGACAACAATTTGAGTTGCCACTCGAAGGACGTTCGACAAGACCCGCTCTGACCCGCCATCTCTCTTCTGTTTGTTTCGTTCGCAGACAAAATCGCAGCTGATCAAAACCGGCCTAAAGCTGGCCATCCAGAGCAAGCGCAAGCTGTCGACCTGCGACTCCAGCAGCGGGTCGGAGCAGCCACAATCGAAGTGCTCCCGCAGGAGCAGCAGCATGAACAACAACAGCAGCAGCATCAACAACAACTGCAACAACACGAGCCACAGCTTCAGCATGAACGACGACGACGAGGAGTCCAGCGAGGATGAGGACAGCGAGACCAAGTCCACGCCCAAGGGCCTCACGCCCGAGGACGAGGATCGTCGAAGGAGGCGCCGGGAGCGCAACAAGATTGCGGCGACCAAGTGCCGCATGAAGAAGCGCGAACGCACCCAGAACCTCATCAAGGAGTCGGAGGTGCTGGACACCCAGAATGTGGAGCTGAAGCAACAGGTGCGCAGCCTCGAAACGGAGCGACGAAAGCTGCTGGAGATGCTTCAGAATCATGCGAATGCCATGTCCCCTGGCTGCCTGAGAACCGGCGGGTGTCAGCTGCCTGCCGTTCTGCTGCAGTCGCCTGCCCAGAAATATCTCTCGGAATTGGACCTGGAGGGCCAGTCGTCATCGGAGGTCAACCTCTCAGGTTCCCTCTCGGGCTCTGGCTCTGGCTCTGGCTCGGGTTCCATCTCTGGCTCTGGCTCTGGCTCTGGCTCGGTGTCGAGCAGCAGTTCCTCTTCCCAAAGGATGAGCATACCATCGATGGCCACCTTTAAGTTTGGCTCCAAGACAGCGGCCATGGCAGCAGCAGCAGCAGCGGCAGCGCAGGTCCAGCAGCAACAGCAGCAGCTACCCAATGGCTACTGCAAGCCATCGCCCAGTCCACAGGAGTTTGAGCATGCAGGATACCTGAGTTCCCCCAACCAGCAACAGCAGCAGCAACAACAACAACAACAGCAGCAGCAGCAGCAGCATCAGCAATCCATGAATCCCGCCAGCAGCAACAACAACAACAACGAACAGCAGCAGCAACAGCAGCAGCAGCAGCAGCAGAGCAATGGCAGCAGCCTCGTTGTGAGCAATCAGCAGGTCTCCGATTATGTCCCAAATTGCGATGGCCTCAGCATGGCATTGGGTCTGGCATCGCTGCCATTGCCACTGCCCCTGTCACTGCCACTGCCCCTCCTGCCAGCGAGTACACCCACCAGCAGCAGCTCCTCGAGCAGCAGCAGCAATCAGACCGGCTCGGCCGCCTCCACGCCCACCAGCATCGCCATTGAGTTCGTCAAGAATGAACTGGTGGATGCCCCGAGCCCCTATACCACGGCCCTCAGTGCGGAGCGTTTTCTGTTCGAGCCGAGCGATGGTTTTCCGGACATCAAGCATGCCGTGAGTGTCCTGCCCACCAGTGGCATCAATAGCCTCAATATGGCCAGTGTTGTCCATGCAAACAGTGGCGGCGGAGCGACAGGACACCATCACAGCCACCAGCACCACAGCCACAGCCACAACCACCATAACAACAACAACAACAACAACAACAACAATAACCACCTGATGGACTTCCATCATGGCCTACAAAGCAATGGCCTTGGCGTCGGTGTGGGCGTGGGTGTCGGTGTAGGTGTGGGCGTTGGCGTGATGACACCCTCCTGCTACGATGACGAGCAGCTGCTGCTGATGAAGAACGGATGCTTTGCCAACGATCTGCTGTCCCAGCTGGCGGACGATGGCACGGACTATGTGGATCTGGATACCGGTGCCGCTGCTTTCATGACCAATGGTGGCTGCCTGGCGTGAGGGCGGGCCCAGCGGGCATCGGCACCGGCAAACGCACACGAGCGCGATCGTGATCGGGATCGCGATCTCCTGCTGCTGGCCTTCGATCAGGATGGAGGCCAGGAGGAGGAGCAGCAGCAATCGTCGTCGTCGTCGCACAGGCCGAGCAACAGTCCGCAGCAGCAGCATCAGCAGGATGTAGAGATGGAGCTGGAAATGGAGCTGCAACTAGAGGAGGAGGAGGATCCCGCCTGGACCCACGTGGATTATTGGTGCTAGGTGTTCGCTGGATCCTCGCACCTTGATGTACATTTTGTAGATGCTACTCATCGACTAAGCAGAAGAACAGATTCAAAACAAAAATATCAGAAGCCGCAGCCCCAAAGGGCGCACTGAAATTCAAACAAAATCCCTTTAAATGTCCCCGAAACTCTGTTTGAATTTCCCACAAAACATCCCCAAATTTCCTCCACGCATTATTCCCCCAACAACAATCCCTTGATGCCTGTTTTCACGCCGTTAACCGATCCGAGTTCTTCCAAGAAAAAAAAACAAGAAGAGCAGAGTACCCCTGATGACCCATGCCCCCAAGCCTCGAATACCCCCGATACCCTGGTCCCCCTCCCATTGTGTAAGTCCGCCTGGAGCGGCGTCCAGCCTGTGGCTTGACTACCTCATGAAGCAAAGAAAGCAGAAAACAATTTAATTAACAATTAAAACCTATCATTAAACAATCAGTTTTAGAGAGGAGTGGAGTAGCAGTTAGAGAGGAGCGAAAAATACTTGCATAATTGTACATAACCCAACTTTTTTGATACGATTCAAATCGATAACATTCCATTGCAAGCGAATGCAAAGAGCGAGAGAGAGAGAGAGAGAGAGAGAGAGAGAAAGGGAGAGTATAGAGGGCAGTGATCAACTGCTAGCAGTCACACACACACACACACACACACACACACACACACACATCCGCATCAGTAATTATTAATTTTAATTTTTGTTCAATGTCCTCCTCCATTCTCTAAGCGTTTGTCCTATGATTTTCTTGGTCCCTTGCTCCTTAAACGAAATGCCTTACAAGTTATAAAACATTTATATATGTATATTTGTATATTCACATGATGAGAGAGATTAACGAGTGGAATGAAAATAATGTTTTTTCGCGTGATGATGTTTGATATTTTTTTGTCTAAAAAAACTAGCCTTAGTCAGTGATAAAAACAAACAACCCCTATATATACAGCCGATATATTCATACGATATATAAATTTTTGTTTTTTTTTTTTTTTTCCATATTTTTTAAAATAAATTTAATAATAAATAAAAAAAAAAAAAAAAAAAAAAAAAAAAAAAAAAAAAAAAAAAAAAAAAAAAGAAAAAAAAATTGAAATAAAAAAAAAACAAAACTTTCTATTTGACAAAAAAACTAAATTACTAATCCAACACTTTGTTAATTCTTTTGCAACAAAAACAACTAATCTACAAACAAAAATAATTATTAAAAATAATATATACATACAATGAGAGGACGAGAGGAAGAGAGGAAGAGAGGAAGAGAAAGAGAGATGGAGAAAGAGGTATACTCGTAATCGATAGAAAGATCGATGACTTCGATGACCATTAAGTGCTGCTAAATACTGCAAAAATCCTTCAAAACTTGCGCCTTATTACAGTTTAAAGAAAGAAAGAAAAAAAAAAACGAATGTGAAACTTTTTTGTAAATTATATATTATTATATATAGCATATGTAGGATATACATACGTACATAGGAGACCATATGATGCCTATACCATTTACATATGCATGCATATATCTATATTTGTGTGTGTCTATTGCCTGATCAAAAACAAAACAAAAACAAACGTTAAACTTATATACAGATTTAATACGTATAGAAAAGGTTCTACGTGTGTATAAAAACAAAAACAAAAACAAAAAAAAACAGCTGTGAACACCAAAAAGTGGCCTAAAGGAGCAAAATCATACACCCACACAGAAAGAAATGAAATGAGAAATATAAAAATTTGCTTTGTTTGTAATTTGTAATTGTAATTGCCTCGATTTGTACTAAAGATATAACCGATAAACAAAAAAATGATACAACTATATCTAATATTTATATATTACTATGTACGAAAAAAACAAAATACCAATATCTATGTCTACATCCCCATATGTAAATGTTGAACAGAGCTCTGCACACGCCTTTCTCTAGTTGTACCTATACCATAAATGTTATACATACACACATATATCACCATTGAACCTTGAACCTTGAACCTTGAACCTTTGTACACCCACAGCACCCCTGTGCCCAGCCTATTTGCCACGAATAGGTTTGATTGTTAGAGCATCAAAAGTAATCATGACTTTCCCCCAGTTACCCACAGCGAAAGATTGTTCGAAATGGGAAGAGAGTTACCTGAGAATATTTGCAAATTATGCAAAAACTTTACCTCACACACGACGCACAGAACCCTATATAGAGGAATAGAGCAGAGACTCCGACCACTCCACTCGGCCACATATAATATTACGCTTTGATCCAAGCTTCCAACCAAAACAGAAACAGACTCTCAGGTGCAGCGAGTGGAGTGGAACGAATGCATCGAGCTGCCAGCCTCTTTCAATGTTAAATTAAACTGTAATACTGACATATACAATGGCCTAAGAAAGATTTGAGCTGAGTTTTGTATGCGTTTTGGGGTCTGCCTGTAGCTGCACAATGAGACGGCGTGAGGGACAAAGAATAGACATATAGCGTCATCGGAAATAGAATCAGAATCATCGCCTCATTTCACCTCAACGACTGGCAGGACAGACCGCTGATAACTGACACTTGACCCTTTACTGGACCTTGACTTCATTCTCTAGCTTTTAGTTTGTAGGCTACACACAAAAACATTTTTGTTTGCTGTTTGTTGAAACAAAAGAAAGCGCTACAAAAGTACCTGGACATGCAACAATGTAACGATCAACGATAAATATCGATATGCGATAGAGATCAATGTTGGTTAACTGTTTAAACATAGAGTCCTCCCCCGCCGCCACATAGAGTACCAGCTGCAGACAGAATCCCAGAACCGTACCACCCAAAGAACTTCCCATTGATTGTATAGATTTTAAAGCCATGTGTACAATATTGCTAAATCATATTTGAAAGATATATATATAAAGTTAACGATCCAATGTAATATACGTGTCTGTCTTTCCACCACAAAACCCCACAAATGAGAAAACAAGCAAAAAGAAAACTCCCACAAACTGTGCTAAAACAAAGAGAGAAACGAAAGAAATTAGGGACGATGAAGAGAGAGAGAGAGAGAGAGAGCGAGTGTTGTTGTTTGGAGAGAGTCCCAGATGTTATTTGTGTGGTTTTGACCAGAGCAAAACCGTACGGGAAATAGATCTAGCCGACTACCACTACATACATACATATAAGAATAGAGCAAAAAGAGAGCAACAATCCAACAAAATCAATTCAAAACCAATCAAGCAAAGCGCTGAAATCTTTTGTGTAAACTGATACATGATAATGCAAAACCCTGACAAGACGCAGCTCCCATGTGCATTCTGTATCCTGTATAACCTGTAACTGTCGCCTGTAATTGTAACTATAACTCTTACTTTAACTATAACTTGAATATCTCTAACTGTCTCTGTAAACCATCTCCGATCCGATCCGATCCGATCCGACCAGAACCGAACCGAAATCACACACACACAGAAACCACATAAAAAGAACTACAATAAAAATTCAAATTTAATATCCAAAATAAAAACTCTCTTTCCTCTGGAATGGATCATCGAACAATTTATATGCCATATGCCCGGCTACTGTCCGAACAACGTCATCTGGCCCCTAGGGGGCGACCCAATCTCCAACCTGACCTGCCTCTGCCTCTGCCTCTGATTGTTTATCCGAGATTATTTTCGTTCTTGGCGCGTGGCTCGGCGTGGGCGTGGGACAATCGTTTGGTTCTGCCACGAACCACGATCCGCTCCGCTTCGCTCTGCGCCGATCGCCCGATCACCGATCGGACCTGATCTGCATCGCTGACGGGGCTGACTTATAAACAGACGATGACATCATGTTACTCTCTCTCTCTCTCTCTCTCTCTCTCTCTAAGCTGTGCCTCTCTTGCAAGCCCGGGATCTATCTCTGTCTGTCCGAGGGTGTGCGATCAGTGACTATTCAGTTAGAGGCAGTCAGCCCCACCATCCCTCTGGCTGTTGGCTGTTCTGCCGCTTTGCTGCTTTGCTGCTTTGCTGCTCATATGCATAAGTTGAAGGCTCGATCGTTTCTGCGGCGCTTGATATTGAGGCTGGGACTGGAGGCTGCCGCTGCCGCTTGGGTGATTAATGCTCCCCCCGGCCATGATTAATGCCTAATTGCTTATTGAATGTCATAACAGTAATAAAGAAAAGAACGAAACAAACAGAACATGCCTCAAATCCTTCTCAATGCAAAATGTGTCATAGAATGGGTCACCAATTCGATGGGTGATGATACGATGGCGATCTATGGCTAGCCCTTGCTGTAGAGCATCCGGTTCCACACTTGGTCATCCAACTAAAAATACTCATGTCGAGGATTGTCGGTTTGATATCCACCATCCGTTTGCACAGGGCACTTTTTGTTGTAGCTTCAGATTTCCCCAATTGCCAGTCAGCCACTTTCCCTCAAGCGACGATAAAACATTAAACAACAGAGGAGGTCTGCCGCATGACGTAAAACAACTGCAGGATCTGAAGGAGAGAAACAGATTGTGTTAAAAGTCATCCGGCTTAGCGGTTTCAATGTCCAAGAAATCTATGAAATATGAAAACTAAATTACGAAAGAAAGAGCTGATACACGAGCGGGCACTGCTCTGATAAATTGTGGCATTTAATCGCATAAAATATCGGCCATAAATAACAAGAAAAACGCATTATCATTCAGTTAACTAATAGCAATCACAGTACAGAAACACATCGTACAGTCACAGGTACAGGCACAATTGTGTTTGTATTTGAATTTAGATAGAGTCTTACATGTGTTGCAGCATGGTGTATTTATAGTCGTGCGTTAAGTGAAAAATTATGCCACCAAAGCCACAAAAACAACGACAAGTGCGATTGTGATAAATGGGAAATGTCTTTCGGGGGCCGAAAGGCTCAAGATTAGCGACAGTCAGTGCCCACAGCACTGGCACAGCGCACGGCCACCGGCCGTCGATCGCCTCTGACCATCAATGTCTACCCGCTGTCTGCCAAGGTTCCCCTGCTCTTGGTGGTTCGATGTCGCTGCGCCTGAAGGTCGTATCGAGCATGAGAGTCGGACAGCAGCATAATGAAAGTTTCATCAAAATCAGTTGAAGCATCTGCATACCCGTAAAGTCTTATAAATTTAATCAGGATCTAAATTCAGCATTGTTCCTCTTTGCACGGCCTCTATATCCTATATGTAGCTGCAATGTGAGTAATCGGTTAATAAAAACACACATTTTGATCGGGAATCTTTATTGGAACGTATACAATTCTTCTTCTAAAATGAACGCACTCGTCAATTAACACACAAGCCTAAATTCATACAAGGAAACTTGAGGTCGCATTTATTTGATCATTAACCGTCAACTCTTTTCAGTGGATTTCATTCCAGGTACGTTTTGTAAGCTTGCTGTTTCATTTCTTCTCATATATGTATGTTCGTTTAGGGTAACTTTTCTTCGGTAACTATTTGTTGGGGTTTCCTCTTTGGGGGCATTTGATTACAAATAAAGGGAAATGCATTATTTGAATGACATGAATATATATGCCAAGAGTCCAACCATCACTGCAATGGCCAGCCCCGTGAAGATGCACACATTTATTTTGCGCTGCTGCTGCTGCAGCTGCTTCTGCAGCTCCTCCTTATACAAAGGAGTCATCATAATGTGCCTGCGGAATGTCTTCATGTTTGATTCAAGGCTGGCCATATCGCTAAGGGAGACTTGCCGCATCATTAGGTTGAGATGGGTGAATTCAATGCAAGACTGCAGGATGTCTATCAGCAAAGGCATCATTTTGTTCTTATTTGCCAAACTTTCATTTAGGCGATACCTCATCCAGTCGCACGAACAATATTCCTCCAATTCTTGTTTCATATTCCTGCGATATGTCATCATATTAAGCGCATCACGATGGTCCCCATAGAAGCATGGTGGCAAGTCAAGGGTTGCTTTCACCATCATAGTATGCATTATTCTGACGGCTCGATCGTTGAAAGGTTGGGCTGAAAAACATAAATCCAAAATACAACAAAATAATGAGAATCGTTCGAATAGCGCAAATCTGATCATTATTCATTATAATCATCGTAATATTTAGCCCCACTAAAAAAAGAATATTTCTTCTGGGTCGCATAAAAATGATCCAAATGGGTGAGCGCATGGGCAGCCGCGCCCCCTGTTTGCCGCCGCCAGTATCATTCGAGTGTGCCGCCGATGCACGCGTGTGATTAATGTGTCTGCACTAGGCGCACACATTCTCACGCACAAACAAACACACACACACACACACATGTAACATTTACATAAAACTCTTCTTGCCCTACGTTGATGCCAGAACATTTTGTCTCACCCAATGGTCCGTCACAATTTACAGCGTGCAAGTTAGCATTCCGTCAGTCAGTCACTGGGTCAATGGAGCTGCAGCAGAACTTCAGGCTGCTGGTGCCGGAGCTCCTCAGAAAATCTCGACCTTTGCGTGTGTGTGTGTGTGTGTGTGTGGATAATGGATACACTTCTATGCATGTATGTACATGAAGCAACTTCGAATTCTGAGCATTCTGAGCTTGCATTCGAAGCAGGGAACGCCACGCCTGTCCCTTCTGTGCAAATGTATCCAATCCCAATGCAACAAACGCATTGCTAGCTTTAGCGTGTGCTTCGACGCCATTTTGAAAGTGCGGCTTCGGATTAGATTTGAGGCGAGAAACGCATGAAATTCATGACTAATTCGCAGTCAATCAAGTTTGTTTGTGGCGCATTACTAAGCTCAACAGATTTGCATAACAATTACTCAATTACTCATACCTGGGAGAGTTTTCCAATTCATTTTTCACACACTCTAATCTGCCAGACAAAAAATGGCGCCGAAAGGAAAAGTGCTGGAGCTAGAGAAAAAGCATCGGCTGTCACTGCTTCTATATCGATATTTAAGAGAGTATCGATTGTATCGATTGAGTATTTCGTGTCTCATGTAAATGTAAGCTCATTCTACCAACCACCAACCAATTTCGGTATAGCGATTAAATACAAAAAAAAAAGAATGTCAGCTGTTTCAAAACAATATGCAGAATGAAATTCGATTTCTGTATTTAAAAAAATATAGTTTTTAATTATAATAATGGATAATAATATATAATAAAAAAAAGCATATTTTTTTCCATGCGATAGTTAGAGTTGGATTTTAGGCCGACACAATCATCGACTTTACATTATATACTTCTTTCACCCTTTGCACTCTACAGAATCAAAAGAATCAGATTCAAAAGAAAGGAATGAAGCCGCAGACTTTGTTCCACTTATCGCACAAAAATACCGATACGTGGACATGTGTACAAAATTATCAAAAATATATATCGATATATCACATTGTATTCGAGAACTTGGCCTCACCCGCGTCCACCTGGGACTATTTTGCGGCTTACAGTAGCCAATCTAATGGAGAATTTTTCGATAAATCAGATGAAATCATAAATTTAGTTCTGAGAGTCCTAAGTAATTTTAGTTGGAATGTCGAAATCGAGGACAATGATTTAAGATTTACAGTGGTATATTTCGGTATATTATTGAGCGTCGGGCGGTATATTTGATCGATAAATCCGCGGTCACACTAGCGTCCGCTTCGTGTTTTGTTCTTGGCGCGTCATTTTGTTTTGCGAATAATTCTAGGAAAATGTAAAATCGGACATGGCCCAATACTCGCCGCGCCAGTGCCTGGCCACGCCCGAAGCCACCGACTTTGGTTTCCCATTCGCCCCATACGGCATCCAGGAACAGCTAATGCAGGAGCTCTTCTCGGTGCTGGAGCGCCGACAGGTGGGCATCTTCGAAAGTCCCACAGGCACAGGCAAGTCTCTGACCCTCACCTGCGGCGCCCTCACATGGCTGCGCCAGCATGAGGAGCTGGTGCGCTCCGAGCTGCTGCAGCGCATCGCCGAGGTGGAGAAGGAAATCGACCGCTTGCAGGCCTCCAGTGCACAGGCGGAGGACTGGATCAGTGCCCAGAGTGAGTCCCGGAAGCAGCAGGTGGAGCTGCAGCAGCTAAACCGCCTCCGTTCGCTGCTGGAGCAGCGAGAACAGCAGCTAGCCAGGATCAGGGAGCGCACCAAGGAGAGGAAGAAGCATCACAAGTTCAGGACACGAACCAAGCCCGAAGGGGAACAGCAGCAGCCCGAGGACATTGAGCCTCCCTCCGACGCAGATGCTGACTCTGATTCCGACCACGAGCTGGCCGACGGCCCCGAGGAGCAGTCGGAGGATCGCTATCGCGCCGTGCAGATATTTTTCTGTAGCCGCACCCACTCGCAGCTGTCACAGATTGTGGCTGAGCTGCGGAAAACATCACACGCGGCGTGGGTGCGTTGTGTCTCGCTGGGTTCCCGGCAGCAGCTGTGCATCAATCCGCAGGTGCGAAGGCTCCGGAACGTGGGCCTGATGAACGAGCGCTGCCTGGACATGGCCCGGAGCAAGGCCCCTGCCAATCCCAGCAAGAAGTCTCGTCTGGCGGTTGGAGCCGCCACCTCGCTCAGTCGCTGCCCCTTCAAGACGCCCGCGCTGGTGGAGAGCCTCCGGGATGTGGCCCTGTGCGAGCCGCTGGACATCGAGGAACTAGCCGCCGAGGGCAGCGCCTGCGGGGGCTGCTCGTACTACGCCTCCCGCTCGGCCCAGGACGATGCCCAGCTGGTGCTGCTGCCCTACCAGCTTCTCCTGCAGCAGTCTGCCCGCCAGCAGCTGGGCATCGACCTACGTGGCTCCATTGTGATCGTGGACGAGGCGCATAACCTTCTCGAATCGATTGCCCAGCTGCACGGCTCAGAGCTGACCCGCTCCCAGCTGGAGTTGGCACGCGACCAGGTCACCGGCTACAAGGAGCAGTATGCGCGCCGCCTGAGCACCCGCAATCTGCTGAGGATCAACCAGTTGATTTTCGTTATGCGCCGTCTACTGAACCTGCTCGAGCCGAAGGCCAAAGGAGACGGAGCTCCGCCACAGCCACCGCCCGTGCGTATGCTGCGCACCTATGAGCTGTCATCCGAGGGCGACTTTGACAACATCGATCTGCACGCCCTGCTGGAGTTCTGCGGCCGCACGCGGTTCGCCCAAAAGGTGCAGGGCCATGCGGCCCGGGCGCAGAGGGAGCCGCGTCCCAGCGAGAACCAACCGCCCGCCTCCAGTCGACAGACGCTGCTGCAGCGCCTGGCCATGCAGCATCAGACGCTGGGGAAGCGGCCGCCGGGAAAGCGCAAGCTGGCCGAGACACAGCCAGAGGCAGAAGCAGAGTCGAAGGAGCCGCAGCTGGAGAGGCTGGCACCCTCGCCCATTCGGCCGTTGTTGGCCTTCATCGAGACGCTCACCAGCAATGCCTCGGATGGACGGGTGCTGCTTAATGTTCAGGCGGGAATCGTCAAGTATCTGCTGCTGGATCCCGCCGAGCACTTTGCCGACATCCTTTCGGAGGCCAGAGCGGTGAGTGGGCCTCAAGTGGGTTTGATTTTATCAAGCATAATCCTCCACCTATCTGCCACAGATTGTCATTGCTGGTGGCACGATGCAGCCCACGCAGGAGCTGAAGGAGCAACTGTTTGCCCGCTGCCCGGAGCGGCTGGTGGAGCGCTTCTACAGCCATGTGGTGCCGCCGGATGCGGTGCTGCCGTTTGTGGTGGCCAAGGGACCGACTGGAGCCAGCCTCTGCTTCAGCTATGCCCAGCGTAGCACTCCCGTCATGGTGAGTGACTGGCTGCTCCTCTCGCTCTGCTCCTGACCCCCTCTAATCTCCACTCTTGCAGCTAAAGGAACTGTCGATGGTGCTGCAGAACCTGTGCAATATCGTGCCTGCAGGCGTTGTTTGCTTCCTGCCGTCGTACGAGTACCTGGACACGGTGCACAGCCATCTGGAGCAGAGCGGTGGCCTGGAGACCATTGCCAGAAAAAAACGCATCTTCCGCGAGTCCTCTGGGGCCGCAGATCAGCTACTGCAGCAGTACGCAGAGGCTCCTGGCCTGCTGCTGGCCGTCGTCGGTGGTAAACTGTCCGAGGGACTGAACTTTGCCGACGATCTGGGACGGGCCGTGCTCGTTGTGGGCTTGCCCTATCCGAATCGAAATGCCCCCGAGTTGCAGCAGCGGATGCAGCACCTGGACGGGCGCCTGGGCCCCGGAGCCGGCAACGAGTATTACGAGAATCTCTGCATGAAGGCGGTCAATCAGTGCATCGGCCGCTCTGTGCGCCACATACGGGACTACGCGTGTGTCTTTCTGCTGGACGAACGCTATGCCAGCGACAGGATTCGAGATAAGTTGCCGGAATGGATAGCCGGGCACATTGCGGAGCCCAACGGCATTGGATTCGGTGCAGTTCAGGCTCGAACCGCCCGCTTCTTCAAAAGTAGATGATGAATCTCAGTATTATTTCTGCCTTAGGTCTGGAGATCTGTGAAATTTGTTGAGCAATTCAAATTATTTAAATACATGCACATTTCGATACATTGCGGAAAGTTATTTTAATAATCGATAACTATTAGTCCTTAGATATGCGCAGCTGTGGAAATGCGAAAACTATAGAATAATAATTAAACAGTCAACAAGAGATAATACAATTCAGTTAAATCGAAATAGCAGTAATGCAATACGTTCAAAGTTAGCGATTTTTGCCTACCTAATATCGATATTCCACATAACGTAATATTTTGGTACAAATTTCGTAGCATGAAAGCTCCCTTGCATTAAGGGCTCTCTTGAAAGCTCTCTCTCTCCCTTCCTTTGCGAAGGGACAACTAATGCACAACTAAATATCAAATAAAATATAGTAATAGTTGGTTTTTTGAGGAAACTGCCATTTTGTACGGCGTTAGAAAGGCTGTAGCCTTCGACGGCGGAAGGCCATCCATCGGTAAAGGTTGGCCACTAGGAGTAGAAAATCAGTGAGAATATTTAAAAATAAAACAAAAACAAATAAAATCAAAGAAATCGGTGATTAGTTAGACGATCATGATGATTTTTTCATCAATATCCGGTGTTCCTTAGCAAAAAAAAAGTTCCGCCTCCGCAAAAGGGCGAACACCTCCCAAACCTACAATTTTGAAGATAAAAGAGAAAACGCCATTCCGTAGGGAATGACCATATCTATCAGATCACCAAATTGGGATCCGATTGGATTATTATTACAGCCACAATGAAGAAATTAATTTCCAGTGGCTAAACCCAGCCTGTCCTGCAGCTTTTGTTGTTCTTTTCACATTCTCTCATTCACAGTCTGCTTCTGCTTCACTCGGCCCCTGCCTCTGCCGACTTTTAACCCACCCTGTCCCGCAGCTTATATTTGTTTTTTTTTGTGTGCGGGCGCTGCCTCTGCCTCTGCCGCGAGTCTGCAGTGTGTGGGTCTAGGGAAGGGCGGCGAGCTAACGGAGCGTGTTGGCGTGAGAAGTGTTGTAGATGTAGATGACAGATGAAGAAAAAATGTAAAATTTGACAAATAACCGCTAAGGTGCAGATGTAGTACTGAGTGCCGGATATAAAAGTTGTAACGCGTAAGAAGCGTCTCACACGTCCCTTCTCGTTTTGGTATGTATTGATGCACTTTCATGCAGCAAATTCCAAAAAGCATAATTGTTTCTATCTTAACCGTCTCCGTTGGTATTAAATTAACTTCAATATCAGCCAAAAACTTATATTTACGATGGATATATTAAAAATTATTTTTAATTTTTTCAATAAAAGTCAGAATTTTGGGATTTGGGATTTTTGGGATATTGTTTTTGTGGGTTTTTTTTTTGCAAAGTAATGCACCGCATGGTACTGCAACATATTATGAAAGCTCTAAACTAAATATAAAGGAAAATAGTAAGATATTTAAGCTTCGTCCTTGAAGGACATGCGATGTATCACATGATGGGTATTTTCTCAAGGATCAGGAATATCCATACATTCATAATAACAAAACACTCAGTTCAAAGGATAATCAATTTAAATTTTATTTTCAACTTCTAAAATAAAAGTTACGGAATAACTCTTTATTTCAACTTTTATAATAAAAATTAATCAACTCTTATTTTTTATTTGTATTATAAAAATCATAATTAATTCTTATTTTTGATTTTAAAAGTATAAATTAAAAAAACTCTTAATTCTGATTTTTATTGAAAAAATTAAAAATAAGTGTTATTCGTAACTTTCATATTAAAAAGTTTAATTCAATTCTTAGATTTAAATTTTTACTTTAAAAGGTTTAAAAGTTACGGTCTCTGGTTAGCATACATGTGTCTCTTTGTGTTACATACACTTACATACTGAACACAAGGCTCCCCTGCTTCCAGACAGGGTGATTTGAATGAAAAATGCAAATGCAAGTTTGCTAAATGTAAGGTCATAAGGTATTAAATGCAATAAAAAGGAGTATTTAAAATACGTCAAATTGATTCTTCAAATGGATAAAATTATTGTTTTAGTGTTAGACGTCTTTGCTTGCTGGTAATATTAAATGGAACATCAAGATCGAGGAATGGCATTTAAGACTACGGTATATTTACAGTATATTTTGAAAATGCAGTGTTATATTTTGGTATATTTACGAGGCCCTGACGGTATATTTCATCGATAATACCGCGGTTACACTTCATTTCAGCCCGTCGTGAAAATAAGCAACTAAAAAATACAAATAATTCAATGAAGTTGAATATGTAAAACATCAGCGTGCTTTGCTGTGCAAATCGAATCCGAATTAAAGTGATCTGCAGGTGTGTTGAGTGCTCTGAATGGTTACACTTCCTCTTGATTTTGGCCGCCTCGCCTCCGCGTGTACGTTTGTTAGTGCCTTCGCATGTGTGTGTGTGTGTTTCACTCCTTGTTTGCCTTTTATCATCATCGATTACCGTCGTCTCGAATATGGGCGTCGTGGGGTCGGGTCCCGCCATTGCACAAATATTTATGAACAATAATCATATTTCTTCGACTTCTGCCGGCCGATAAAAGTCTCGCCTCAAGAGTTTTAGTGGGGGAAGGCCTGAGCGAGGGAGAAAGAGAGAGTGACGCTAGCCAAAGAATTTCGTTGTGTGTTGGTCGTAGGAGGGGAGTACAACTTCCTAAGGGTTCTTCGTATTACACGCTTCTGGCAGGGGGGGGCAGCAGGGCAGCGGCAGCGTTGCAGCAGTGAGTGTCATTGGAGCTGCTCGCCTTCACGTTCCGTCTCACTCTTTCTTTCGTACTTAGTCAGCGAAACTAACGTAGTAGAGTATTTAAAGCGGTTATTCTTGTTAGTTGCTTCGAACAAACTCGTTTTTAGCTGACTTTTGATAAAGGAAGAAGAAGAAGCAGTGGCACACATAAAGCGGAAAACTGTAATCAGCATCTCTGAGTGGGTGAGGTGAGTAGTGACTGAGTGAAAGACAGAGGGCAGAAATCAAGTTGAATTTTAATTACCGTCCTGCAGGAATCATTATTTATTTGTGTATTTTGCATTATGCCTTCTTGTTTACTTCTCGTTCTACACGCTGGCCAGGCCCTCCTTAAGCATCCCGTCCTGAACCCCGCCCCCGTCCCGTCCATAGTTCCAGTCAGGCAATCTCCATGCTATGGCTCTCCGATTCAAAAGAGCGAAATAAGGGAGAGAGAGCCAGAAAGCATAACAACTGTGTACCAGCCACAGCGACGGATAAATACCCTTCGATTCTCAACTGCATATGGTGATGGATTTGAATGATCTAAGGCCTTAAGTCCGCACAAATGCCTGAACAGCATATTTATATATCCCTCGTTGGAATATCATAAAGTAGTATATAAATCCACAATTCGCATCTGCTCTCTTGGTAGGACATTCACAAGTCGTCGCTCCGGCTCACGTCGCTGTACGCTCTCTTACACTGTCTCTCTCTCTCTCTGTTTGACTCGCTGGCTTTGCAGCCGCGGTCTTGGGTCTCTGCTCATTCGCAAACGGACCTCGGCAGCAATAGTAACAGTAAACGGTAAACGGAGTGATAGTAGTAGAAGAAGAAGAAGATTACTTGCGAAACGGAATAAAACGGTACGCGAAACGGCTCGGTGTTTGAGGCGGACGTTCGAATCGGGACGGTACGAGACGGTAAATGAAACAACGCCCCTGGGAGGCCGAGAACAAAAAATATCCTTTAAAACGCGGCGAAGATAACCCCGAGAATAATTGCATAATTTAAACTGTGCATATAGAACATTATTCCGATGTTTGTCCATATAGTATATAACATGTGCCGGTCGGGATTTCGCTGATAAGCTTATCATTATCATATATATTTTGTTTTGCGAAGCGGATGCTGCGGTGCAATCAAAACAAAATGTGGCTAGAGGGGAAATGCAGAGGGACCTCTGAATCGGTTTGGCTATAAACGCCGCTATCTATCTATATTTGTGTGTGTTTGAGTTGTGTGAGAGAGCTCTGTGTCTGTGTGTGTGGTCAATTATTTTCATACGATTTTTTGTTGTTGTGGGTGTGTGTGTGGAAAGTGAAAGTGAAAACAGGACGCGCGCCACAGGGAGAGACAAAGAGCGTGTGTGGAGAGAGAGCATGCGTTGTTGTTGCTGTTTCTATTCCTTGGATTCGTGAAACGTACGCAAGCCAGCCAGCCAGCCAGCCATCACACCCACCCCTCTCTCTCCCACTCACACCCCTGCCAGACAGTGGCTGCTGTCTCTCCCTGCAAGAGAGAGTGCGAGAGACTTCGTTCTAAAACGGTTCTTTTGCTTGCAGCCGCCTTTTTTGGAATGCGCTAAAAACACTCTCTAAATTTGCGCAGCAGCAGAGGCCAGAGGCAGTGGCTTGTGACGTCAAAAGGAGTCGTGTCGTCGTCCCCGTATTGTGACAGAGAGAGACGGAGAGAGAGAGAGTATTAGCGTTCACGGTTATTCCTTTTGGACCTCCCTCTCTCTGTGTGTGCCACCGTCACCGCCGCGAAAATGGAACAGCCGAACATACTCGTCAAAATCCTTCACTCGGTGCCGCACGTGAACTACACGTTTCGCCGGGTGAACGACACTTTCAATCCGGACAGCGATATATATCTCGAGGTGAGTAGATACCCCGTAGTAAATACCCTGTAAATATAAGATCTTATGATTCTGCGGGCAGGCCGTATGGCACTGCACTTATCCTCTCTCACACCCCCACCCTCGTTGATTCTCAAGTGGTCCTCTCTCTCTCGTTCTATTCTCTCTGTGTTTCTTGAGTGGAACTCTTGAGTATCCAATCCGTGTACTTGTGGAATAGATAGAGGAGGAGGGGGCCATGTATATTTTCTCAAGTGTTGTTTTCTATTTCTTTTGTCCATTTTCCCACCCTCGCAAGCCTGCTGCGTTTCCTCTTTCAGTTCTCTTTACCTGAGAGAGAGAGAGAGAGCGCTCACGGTTCGGTACCGTTTTGCAATTGCAAGGAACAAAAAAAAACGTGTGGGAAATACTCGAGTGAATTTCAATTGTTGACGGTCTACCATTCGCCTCTCTCGCTTGCTCTCTCTTCTGTC